TATCCCCTGATGAGGTAACTTAATCAGTGGTAGTGGGGGTGGGTTTTGCCCCTTGTTTATATACAGTAGCTTGCCCTGCCAGTGTTGGTGGGGTGTGGTTTTCTCCTTGGTAGTACATTGCAGTTTTGTTTCAAGTCATTCTCTCCACACCACCTTTCATTTTGATAATGGGTAGCAAAACAGAACTGTCTTGTCTTCTGTAACTTGCTCCCATCTAGTATATCTAGTAAAACTGAAGCAATATCCAGAACAATTCCCTTTGATTTACAATTATAATATGCACATCCTACCTATACCTGAGTATATCAAACTATAGAAATATTTATATTAATACTATTGTAGTACAGAAGGCCTGATACATACAAATGACCAATTGTGGGATGCACTTATTTAGTTCCTTATTTGTTTCCACTGATTTTGGGTAAGATGATCCTCTTATATCATAATTAGCAGTGCTGCCTGCATGCAAAGTTCAATTCTGTCACATCAAGTATGATTTCCTAGACAGATGGGTGGATTATTTAGGATAGCTCCAAAAAAATAGTTGGTTGGAATTTGTCACATGGGGTATCATGTATCAGTTTTGTGCAAAAAAAGTTTTTATTAGAACTTTTTTTTTAATGCAAAATATTCTGATCAGAGATGTAGTTCTGTAGTTAGTTCCAGGAACAGCATTATAAAAATTAAAGTTCACTTTGAGAACATTCTTCCAAGTACCCTTAAGCAAACTCAGAGGGTAATTACAAGATTGCCTCAATCTGTTTTCTCCTCATAAAGATAATATGGAAAAAGCCCCAACATATCCAGCACATATTTAAGAAGAGCCTCAAGGTTGTGGAATATTTTATTTCACAACTTTTATACACTGTCACAGACCATCCACTAGACTTTTCTCTTCCAACCTTCTTACATAACATTTCAACTTGGGCAAATACCCCATGTATTTCATTTCAATATACATATATATATTGAATAATTACATAATTCTCATGTTAGCAATTCCATCAGACTTGGGAGGTCAGCAGTGCCAAGTGAAGACAACCAAATGTATTATTCAGCTAGCTGGTTCTAACTGCAGTTCCTTCTGATTGGTTTGACATCTACATTCCAGGATGAGCAGACTTGGGGTCCTGGGCTTGAGATCATCAACTGTTGTCATTGGCTTCCCATTTCCCCTGTGATTTAGAAAAAATTGCCATGTGTTGTACTTCACACTATCAGTATCTGTACTCTGTTCTGATTGTTTTACAGACCTTGAGCTTAAAACTAAACCTGCCCAGTAGCAACTTTGAAATTGTCACATGCAGCTTAAGTGAATACTGATAAGTTTAAGATTACTAATTCTTCAGACTGAATTTTCCAGGGAGGTTTTTACAGCTGTCCCACACAACCTGATACACAAATATTGTGCAAGGTGTATTTACCCTCCATAGAAATGAAGAGTAAACACATTTATTTCAACTTCAGATTCTGCACTGATGGCAGTGGCAATTTGCTGTGTGAAATTATTAATACTAGCTTTATTATGAAACAGTCTTAAATCCTTTTTGCATACCTCAAAGGGGGAAAAAAAAGCAATTCATTGTTACTTTGTAGGAAATAACAAAAGAGATGAAAGTGAAAAAAATCGCATCTTACTGGAACAGAGATAGTAGCTTAAAACTACATACAGTATATATTCAACCTCATAACAGAACATAGTTAACATTTTCTAATAAAATGTTTTTGCAATGTTTGTTCTTAAGGAAAAAGAAGGTAGCAAAGGTGGAGAAAAATGGGTTTCATAGCAAAGTTTCCAACCACATAAAGTCTGTATATGTGCTCATCAACACATGTAGCAGGAAGGTTGAGAACGGAGAGGAATATATTCTGGAAAAACTATGTTAGTGAAAAAAAAATGTTTTCCAGGTTACAAATTGCCAGGCACTCAGTGGACAACCTTCTATGTCATTAGCTGGAAGACTGAAACTTAAATTAGGACAACACTGGTTCTATTACCATACAATCAATATATACCATCTGTAGCAGACAATCTGATCTCAAAAGACAATGAAAGATGGTGTACTCTCCATAGCTGCAGAATTAAAGCCTACACATTAGAATTATACTGAATATTATCTCAATAACATATGCACTAGGGCTATACATGCTTTGAAAATGATTTGAAAGAAGCATTTCAGACCTTGCATGAACACAGCAGCTCTCTGCTATTCATTAAAGTAATCAATTTTTTTTCAGGCTTCCTCAGAGGCTTCCAAAAAAAAAAGATGCCACTGCTTTAAGAATTCCATTAATTAAAGTTAGTGCAACTCTTAAGTAATATTCTGAAAAAAAAACCTGGCTACTTTAATGAATATCAGATGATTCTGTGCAAACAAGGACCAAAACCCTTCTTTCAAATCAGTCCTGAAGCATACATAGCCTTAGCAAGCACCACTTTCAAGAGAAAAATATGGGAGGCTTATTTTTTTACTCTCAAGACTTGCACATTATCTCGTTATCCACTTTGCCTTTTAAGGTTAAGGGTGGATATTTGAAACAAGGTAACAACCCTCAGAATTACATGTATATTATTGTAAACTAGTTATGCAGGTTTGACAGTCTCATCTTTTAGAGCATTTCCTATTTTTCTTGGGTGAGGGGAGAGATGGAAGAAGCATCAGATGATAGCAGCACTGACAAACCATATATTCCTGAGAGATTACACATTCACCATGCCATGCTTGCATCTGCAAAGCAGGAGATATGACTATGGTGGCTCCTCCCTACATGTTGTATCATTATTTCAGGGAATGGGCAGAGATTAAGAACAGGGTTATACAACTTATGTATGGAATACCACATAAAACAAGATATGCTGATGGCTTCATGAATACAACTGGATCAAATTGGTTAAATGTATGCCACCTTCTTTAAATGTATAAACAGCATAATTTAATAAATATTTTTCAAACTATTTTGCTTTCCTCCAGAAGTGTTATTTCTTGTAACTGCCTATGTCCAATAATTTTATGGACTAAACCTTCAGGAGGCACACATCAGTACGTAAGTTCCCCAGCTGGCCACGGTATTGAAGCTCAAGGCCTGATTTTCAAGTACTAGTGGTATGCAGTATTCAGTATTGAAGAGGGCAAAGGTGCTTCAAATTCAGACTGGGCACCTCACTGTGACTGCCAGTGCCAGGTACACCAATAGTTCCATGCCACCCAAAACATCTTTGCCCTCTGCCATGCCATCCAAAACACTTTGCCCTCTCCAGTTTCGCATACTCCACCTCTGTCAAGTACCCTTTATATGATTTTAAGGCACAATGTTTTTAACAAGTCATAGTGCTCATTCAAGGATCTTCATTTCAAATTTCCTGCTCTGCACCTCAGTAATAGTGGACTGTCTGCCCTACCATTTCCTATTGTTCAGGCAGTTAATACAAGGACAAATAATTTCAATAGCAGTGAATGAGAAACTACTCTCCCTACATTCCTCTGCATAAATTAGCAATCTGCTACCGGTTTTTTAAACAAGAGAGTATTGAGGACCTTGTGCACATGTATGTGCATGTGCAGTGAAGGACTTCAGTCTGGCAAAGCAGCAAATCCTAGACAATATGCACTCAGTTTATCAAAATATGGGGTTATAGTCACTCTGAGTGTCACATAAACTTAAGCAGCATGCAATTTTTTAAAAAACTCCCCTTCTCTAGACAATATAAATAGAGTCAATGAATAGGATTCACAAATACATATCCTGCTATAAATATTTCTTTTGAAACTTTTTGTCAAACACTTTTGGAATGAAAAGGGAAAAAAACAGAATCACCAATCAATAGGAACAGAGCTCATTTCACTTTGGTGGTTCTTAAAATCATTAGCGGCAATTCTACACTTTTGAAAGAGGGAGTAAGAATTTTCACTGCAGCAAAGTATAGAGTATTAGGGGACATAGAGTACACGTTGTTGGGACTCCAGCAGCAGTATATCAACAAGGACTTTATAGCAAACTGAGCAGCTCTTCAATGTTGCTTCTTCCTCCAGTTCCTTGAGAGTAGTGGAACTAGACCAGTAGCACCAAGAAATATAATACCCCCCACTCCCATTTAATAATAAAAAAAACAGGCAGACTTGCAAAATAACCAGAACATGATGTGCATAACTCACTCAGAAGAGAAACTGTCATGGCAAGTAATTCTAACACTAACGTCATGTTTAAGGCAGCTATTATATTTGCAATAGGACTTCTGGTTCTGAAAGTGAACAGTACAGTGTATAGCCTAATTCATCCACTTCTTCAGCAGTAAGCTCTGAAAACAAGTTCACCTTGGGATTTAAAGCACTGGGAAGAACTCCTTCTTCCAAATAGCCAATTAGTTTTCTCAATGCCTGAAGAAAACGGTCAGCTACTACATCTTGTGACCAATCAGTTTCTTCCTGGGTCAGGTGTAATATTACATTGGTGAGCTGGCTGGCAGAAAGACGACCCAGCATAGGGTTCAGTTTACATATGGCCTTGAGGATCTTGAGGCACAAAGAACGGCAACCAGAGTCATCTTGGTCCAAGGCCCGCAGGCGAGCTGTCTCTGCTGGCCGAAGGCTGAGTCGCCATAGATTATCATATTGGGCCAGTCGGTGTGGCCTGGCTACCAATACAGTATCACCTAATGTCACAGATGGTAAAAAGTCTATTAGAAGGTGCCGATCCCGTTCATACTGGACCTCCAAAGTTAGAGATTCTAAGGGTGCTGCTGGACGGATCACATAGTCTAAGAGGATCCCAATTGCTGGCCAGTTAATGGAACCGGCCACTACTTTCTCAAAGGTACAACACACAGCCTTAGGTGAGAGGTAACCCCCCACTACACAGCGGTCCCAATAACTGCTACCACGAGGAAAATATTCTGGGTTTTCCCGACGTACTAGGCAGAAGCCAGGGATGTTCATGATGGTATCTTCACCTGGAATGCATGACCATAAATTCTGTTCCAGCACAAGAGGAACAATAAGTTGGATGTGATCAGCTGTCACAACCTAGCAGGAGAGAGCAAGAAATAAAAGTGAGAGTTAAACATCTAAGGACTGATCATATCAACTATCAGCTAGCTTACTTGCACCCTCCAAATGTTTGGACTTAAATTCTCATAGATTCCTTAACTAGTTAGTTAAGGAAGGCTGGGAATATTAAGAACAATTCAGTCGCATATCAATGATCCTCAATATCCTCTTTAAATATATTGATGTCACAGAGGCGGCGTCAGCAAACTCACAAGAAAGTTGAAATCTCCTCAAAAATTGACAATATATTGGGGGGATGTAAATAGGTATTATTTTGGATGACAACAGGGAACTAGCACATATGGATACTGTATTGCTGGACTAAAAATCTGATAATATGCTATACTGTGAATAAACAATCTGAAAGTACATTTCTTTGAACAGATGTAGAAAAGGCACAGAACACAAAAATATGGATATTGGCCAGAAAAGGGGAACTTTTTCTTACACAAGATCAGATCACACACAAAAAAGTCCAGATAGAGTCCCATGAAAACATGATAATGGGATAAACTATCTCTGCCATCATTATTCTTGCTGAAGAACATTTAACAGCTTTTCACTCATTCGAGTTACCTGTAAATCATCACAGAGGCTACCACTCAAATACATCTCACGCAGAGGCATGTCTGGCAACTTGGCATGGAGGAAACCACGTAATTCAGCACAGATATCCACAGCAGCTTGCTTAGCTTTGATCTGTTCTTCTGTGGAAATAGCCACCTTTCTCCGGTAATAAGCAAATAATTTTTCTTGCAAGGACATTCGAAGGCGGGATTTCTTCAATTCCACCTGGCTTCTCTTGGCAGGTGATTTATGCTTCATAGGTTTGATTGAATCTGTTCAAGTAACACAATAGAGAAACCAAAAAAAGAGCCCAATATTTCACTGCAAATGGCTTGTATAAATTGCCTACACTGAAATTATTCTGCTCTGAACTTGTATTGTTTAACAAACACAATAGCCTTAGGATAAGGTTTATGGAAAAAAGAAACCATTAATGGGACAATCCAGAAGCAGACATCCTTTGTCATTAAAAAAAATTCAAATGAAACAAACTACAAAGCTATTCTGAATATACTAAATACAGCATATAGTCAGTACAATGTATATATTCTTTTTTCAAAGTATCTCTCACCTATTTCAAAATCTGAAGCACCAGTGGGAAGAGTTTGCAGAGAACGGCTAAGATTTGTCTTCATGTCTTGGTTCAGTAACCGTGATGATGACCCAAGCCAGCTTGGTTCCTCCCAGCTTCTCTTTCCTGACTGGCTTAAATGGGTGGGACTGGCTGGAGCACTAATTGCTCTGTCATACATCTGAAGTGAGTGAAAAGTAGGACATTGACTATATAATCCAATCGGAAGACTTAATTTCTAAATCCCCTACTGTGTTTTTTTCAACATCAATAAATCTTGGCATCTCTTCACCAACTATATTATTTCTTACCCGTTTGACAGCCAAGGTAGCAATCCCCAGCATAGCAGCACCTCCCACTCCCAGTACAAGTCGAGCATTGGACAACACAAAATCAATAGCAGTGCCAATCCCATTGTCATCCTTCTTTCCTTTGCGCTCTCCAGCGCCTGCCATTGCTCCTACGTAGGAAAAAAACAACATAACTGTTCAAAATTTTCAGTTTGCCATTCAGTTCTTATCTGATCTTAATTCCATGGGCTTTTACTAAGATTAACTGTTTGAAGCTAAATCTATTTTACATATATCACTTTAAAACATGTTTTGTAACTCTTATTGTAAAAACCCTAACCCGAATGGTTAACACAATATAAATCACTAACTAAAACTACAAAGTACATTAAATCAATAGAAATTTAATTTTCCATAAAATTAAAATGCAGACTTCATGTAAAATGTAGAAAAGCCCAAATTGGGGGTGTGGTACAAATCCATGTATAAAGTTATAGTCTGAGAATGGTTTCCAATTAGAACTGAATTCTACATCAGATTTACCTTTTAAATATGAAATTATTCTAGATGTTGAAGCATATTCCCTCAATTTAATTAGCCATTCTTCCAAAAAAGGAGTCAAAGAAGGAAGCGTATAAGATCCTTGCAGCAATTAACACATACAAAGCTAACTGATATAAACATTCACGTTTTTAACATGGGACCCTCCCATGATGTTCAGCCAGAACAACCACATTTGTTAGTGTGAATATTTGACATCCAAATGTGACCCTCTTTTGCATTAATAAACTTAGAACTATTCTGAATAGAACTAGACAACCCATGACCCATTGGGTCATCATTTCAGAGATATTTCCTTACATAAACAGAGAAACAGAATGACCAAGGGCAAAAAAGCAGCAGGAGTAGGAGCAACTTACAACTTGCTGCCAGCTTCCCCACTGACTTTGCTTGTAGGAAGCTGGCAGAGAGCATCAGAAATCCTTCCTTCCTTCCTTCCT